AAAACCGAGAAAAAGAAGTGAACTATTAGAGATTGTTTGGAAAAGCAGATTTCAGATTTTCGAGGGAGGATAGGAAAAGACAATGGCTTTTAAATAAATATATATCGTCCATGATTCATCTCTTCATCTCACAAAATAGTGATGAACTGAAAAAAATAATCTATTCAAAGTAATACATCAAAGTTTTAAAACTAAATATATGTCAACAAGTCTTGATAGAAGCTAATTTATAATTAATGTAACTTACAATAATTTCAAATTTAAAATATAATTTATCAAAAAAAAAAATTGTACGTTGAGAATAAATAAAAGTCATGAAATACACCAATCACCAATTTCTCATTCAAAATTTTAAAATACACTACTCACCATTTTTAGAACTATTAAACTTGAAATATTCAGAAACATTAGTAGAACTACCCAAACATGATATATTATTCTTTTAATTTAGTTTTATTTATTATAATAAAATATTTATTATTAATTAATTAAAATATATACTTTTTGCATCCATAATATGTAAGAAATTTAAAAATAATTGTGTAATATATATGTAATATTTTGTTTAAAAAATAATTCTAATTAAATAATACTCTTATAATGTATACAAAATAATTTACTAATCATTATATTAATTATAAATATTTATAAAAGATAAATATAATATAATAAATACTTTTTAAAATTTTATAGAAAAAAGTAACATTGAAAGATTATAAAATATTTCTGAAAAAATTCTTATAAATAATACCAAGAAAAATAATATGCATTATGAGAGAATGAAAAGTAGAATTATCTTTGCCTATGGAGCACTTAAGAATTGCCGTGCTCTAGGTATCTATTGATGTAATGTTTGAATAAATTATAAGTTTTTTTTGGGTCAAAAAGAAACTAAAGAGGCAAAAGAGTCCTAAATGGGACCAACCAACCATACGCGAATAAGAAATTCATCATACTAATAAGTGGCTACAATACTTTGCAATTACAGTAGATAACTTTGAATATATATATATATATATATATATATTATAAACTCTTACTTTTAATTTAAATTTTTTATTTAATTTAATAAATTATATATATATATATAATTTATTATTTCATTGGAAAATAAATAAAATATTTAAATTAAATATAAAATTTTATAATAAAAAAATTCTTCATATATACATATATAATCAAACATAATAAATTTATGATAGATAAGTCTAATGCTTGTATTTTCTAAGATACGTAAGAAATCATATAAATTTTTATTGATTAATTATATAGTAATTAAATTATGCAAAATTAAATTTTAACAAAAAATAAAATTTGACAATTTATCTATTTATTTTAAAATTATTATAAAATATATTAATTTTATAAATTTTAAATAAAAATTAATACTTCATCGTTCCGTTACATTTTAACAAAGAGGTTACACTATTTAAAATATAATTAAATAGTTACAATTAAATTACATATTTATAAATATTAAAAATGTGCACAAATTTATATTAAAGTTTTTCATGATAATATTATAATAAATAAAATTTAAATTTAAATTGATATCATTTAGTCCGACTCATTTAAAAATATTTTTTAAATATAGTGAGTTGAGTAGCCCTATTAAAAAAAATATATTACATACTAATAATTTGATATTAGATTAAATTTAATCGATATAGCCTTTATTTAGAAATAATAAATTTATTACTATAAGTGTTATACAAAATTAATTCACAAATGAGATTATTACCATAAATATTAATATATTATATTATATTATTAATGTAAATTCATAATCCTTATGATAATAGTATAATATTTATTATAAGGATCCAAATTTAGTTTTCTTTTCCTAGAAACATCGATTAAATCTGAAATCCAATTACCATTATCAACAATGTTACACAATAGTTGATAATTGAGTTCATAGCTTTTCTTCAATTTCATGTTTCAAATAATTCCATATGGGACTATAGATTGATGGTTGACCAGTCAACTAATAATTGTTATACTGCTTTGCTTATTGCCAAGAGTAAGCGAATTATTTGAGAACGGAATATCGTTATTTTGACCAGTGGATGTGTCTTTCAAAGAAGCAAACAGACAAAATAAAGAACAAAAGCCATATTCAGATTTTGATACATTTCTATAAATAAATATCATTTTTTTAAGAATTTTACTATTTAATGGTATTAATAATTGGTTTAGGAAGAAAAATAAAAGAGAAAATATTTTGATAATAAATAATTATTGATAAAATGAGAACATTATGTTGAGTTGAGCATTTGATTTTAAAAATCCATTTTTGCATAACAATACTTCAGCTGTTTTAAAAAAATCTTCCAATTTCTCACAATAATTTTTACAAGAAAAAAAAAAAAGATCAGATATGGATGTGATTGAAATTAAAATATAAAGAACAAATATTATAAAATATGAGTATAAATAACATTGTTTAACAAATGAAGCAAAAATAAGACATGCCTCATAGTTATATTAATTATTTAAAGAAGGCTTAATAATATTTTATTTAACACTCTTTTTATTTATTAAAATATATTAGAAATTAAAAAATTACGTAAATAATACTTTTTAAAAATTTATATTTTTAATAATTTTTAATTAATAGCTAAAAATATATTAATAAAAATACGTTAAAAAAATACATGACTAGTATTCCTCTTATCATAATAAAATAACAAAAAAATACACTATTTAATATGCTTTTTTTAACATGATCCTAGCTATTAATTAAAATTTATTAAAAAATATTATTTAAAAATAAAAGAAACTTATATAATTTTTATATTTTTATTAAATTTTAATTTAATTTAATTTATTTTTAAAAGCATGTTACCAGATAAAGTGACGTTGGAGCTTGTGTATAATGGAGCTGGGCAGAATGCATTTGCAGATTTGCTCCCAAATATGATAAGGACGTCCCCTCTGCGTTTTCATATTTTTATAATTCAAATATTTCTAAACAAACTAAAAAATAAAAATCAAATTAAATAGTATATATGAAAGTCATAATTTAAAAAAAAAGTTTATTTAAATTAATTTTACTATACAAAAACTTAAATCATGGTAAAAAAAATTAAATTGAAGAATTTCCCCTGATTTTTTTTATACTTTTTAACAGAAAATTTAAATGAAAAATATCGCTTTTCATCTTTTACATTAATCTAATTTTTTTGTTTTTCTAAATTTTAGTTTTATTGTATTTGAAAAAAAAATAATACCAAAATTTAAATAATATTAAAAAAAATAAAATTATTTAATTTTAATATTTTAAAAAATTTAAAGAAAGTAAAAAATCAAATTGAAGAATATAACAACTTAAAAAAAGGGTAAAGGATACATGAAAAGTAGCAGAATGAAGAGAAGTAGAAATTTTTATTTGTAATATCTATAAATTTCGCTTAACTAATTACAATGTTAATTGTTGATTAGTCCACCATCCATATACAGATAAAAAAGAGAGAGAAGGAATTAAACCAAACTTTACCTGTATTACTTTTTATATTGAAAATAATCTGTCAAACAATTATAAAAGTATAATTATTTTTAATATATTATCAAAATATATATTACATTATTTGTGTGTGTGATTTGTTAACATTAAACATCAAATTTAGATATTAACACATTTAATATTATTTTAATAATTATGTATATCAATTTTATATAATTTGAATATTTAAAAGTATATTATCAAACAATTGATATTTTTTATATTTTAATAATATATGATATGCTAAAATAAAATAATTGAATAAAATACTCATTAATTTTTGTTTTGTTTGAAATTTTATAAATTTTATTTACTTATTAATAACAACTTTAAAATCAACAATTAAATTATTGAATCTTACATTTTCTTTTTTCTAAAAAATATTAAATAACGTAAGTGTTTAAATTTGAATATCAAGTGTATATTAAATTTCAAAAACATAAACATTTATATCATTTAATACGTTTAATAAAATTTTATAAAATTTAAAATTTACCTTTAAATCATGTATTATTATTTTTATAATTATTTATATCCAATTTTAAATAATTTAAATATTTATATGTATATTTATTTATATTTTAATAAAGTTAAAATAAAATAACATACACCATGTATCTATTAATTTAATTTTTTACGGAATTTAATAAATTTGATCTTAAAAACCTTAAATCAATAGTTAAATTAATAAATTTGGTATTTTATAAAAAAAATATTAAATATTATAAATGTATAAATTAATTTATCATTTAATATCAACTAATAATGTAATTTTGGGTACCTGAATTCACTAATGTGAAGCTGTTTTAATTTACTTTATGATTTTGAATTTAAATTCCAATAAAATACTGAAAGAGAAAAGTTTAGTGATTATGGTTCCAGCAGCTCATAGGAGTGGATCCTGAGTTATATGTATATCCACATTCTCTCGTGAAACATAGTAGAGAATAAAAATCATCCATTATTAACAGACATGGAACCAGTGGAGGCTGCAGGGATATATCATGATTCATCACTACTATCGTCACCCTTCCAATTTTCCACATACAATTAATAGCGTCATTCAGGGTTCGCGTAAGATAAATTTGTCATAAATCTGATTTATTTATTTAATTATTGTGTGGGTCAGAGTACAAAGCAAACACAGCAAATTCAGGCTAGATAGAATGGAAAGAGACCTCAAATTCCAATAAAATTCTATATCAATTTTATTGGAAGAGGATCTTTCAACCAAAACAGGCTACGTTGACTAATTGACTCGAATATGGCACACGTGGGTTAGTGCTCGTAACAATCTTAGATTACATTCATACTTTATCCTGTGCTTACCACTTTTTGATGCACTATCAAACCCTTGTTGAGGATGACCCCTTCACCACTATAAATATTCCCCGTTGCCAATGCTTTTGATGCAAGCTAAACCCATTTTCCTTTGTAACTCAAGCTTCATATACCATTAGCTGTTCTAATTAAACCCAATCGCTTTGATTCCAATATGAGATCATTTAGCCAAAACCATTGTATTTTTGTTTTGCTCCTCCTTCTTACTGTATGGTCATCCCACGTAATGTCTCGCAGGCTCCTTCAGGAGTGCACATCTAAGAGACATGAGAAGTGGATGGCACAATATGGTAAGGTATACGAGGATGCTATTGAGAAGGACAAACGTTTCCAAATATTCAAAAAAAATGTTGAGTTCATTGAGTCATTCAATGCTGCCGGGAACAAATCTTTCAACCTTAGTATTAACAAATTTGCTGACCTTCATAATGAAGAATTTAACGCTTTGCTAATTAATGGTCAGAAGAAGGCACATAGGTTGGAAACAACATCTGAAACATCATTTAGATATGACACTGTAACTTCCATTCCTGCTACCATGGACTGGAGGAAAAGAGGTGCTGTTACTCCAATCAAGGACCAAGGCATTTGTGGTATATATATTATATATCATTTTTATAATAAGCATCAATTTTTAAGATCAATTTTAAATATCTAAATTTAATATTATTTTGTTAGACTTTCATATTTTTAGCAAATTAAATACTTAATTTAATAAAATTTTGTTACTTTTTAGTTACTTAAAATCAGACCTTAAAAATAAGGTTATAAATTTTTTTATATATAATATAACTAAATATTTCATATTATGAATTTATGATTACGACCAATAATTTTTTTTTTCTCATTTACATGCTCAGCACTTTAATAAAATTCCATATGCGATTCATTAAAAGTCGTCTGAATATCAACTTGGTTTTGTGTGAAAACAGGTAGTTGCTGGGCATTTTCAGCTGTAGCTGCAATAGAGGGCATCCACCAAATAACTACAGGTGAACTAGTGTCCCTTTCAGAGCAAGAACTGGTGGATTGTGTTGAGGGTGACAGTGAAGGATGCAATGGGGGTTACATGGAAGATGCCTTTAAATTAATCAAGAAGAAAGGAGGAATAACAAGTGAAGATCACTATCCCTACAAAGGAGTCAATAAGACTTGTAAGGTTAAGAAGGGAACTCATGTTGTTGCTGAGATTAAAGGGTATGAGAAAGTGCGATCTAATAATGAGAAGGCACTGCTAAAAGCTGTGGCAAATCAACCTGTGTCAGTTTACGTTGAAGCTGGAGAATCTGCTTTTCAATTTTATTCAAGTGGAATTTTCACAGGAAAGTGCGGAATGGATCCAGACCATGCTGTTACTGTAGTTGGTTATGGGAAATCAAGTGATGGTACAAAGTATTGGCTGGTGAAAAATTCTTGGGGCACTGAATGGGGTGAGAAAGGGTATATAAGAATGAAGCGAGATATAGCTGCGAAGGAAGGTTTGTGTGGAATTGCCACGAGTGCCTCTTATCCCACTGCTTAAGAACTGTTATTAATCCATAAATAAAGTTTAAATGTTGTATATTTTAGTATATGCATTCTTGCCAGTGGATGCACTCAGGGAGTTTTCCTAATAATTTCTGCTCTTTTATATTATCAAATCTATGTAAGCCTTTAATTTCTACAAAATAATGAAATTAATATTACTCTTTAGAATTATCATCCCTTTTATTTATTTATTTTTTTATTTGTGTGTATGGAATATAATTAAACGCCATCAATGTAAATCTTTATAAAATTTACACTATAGTAAAAATATTATATAATAATAACTATTATTTATTCATATTTTAAATAACATATCATACATCAAAATAAACTAGACCTATAAAATATTGATTCAATTTTAATTCAATAGTCATGGATTATAATGATATTTTATATTAAGGATGGAAGAGCTACAATAATTCCCACCCATGTAGTTAATCTTTCTTCAATTAATTGAAATCGAAAGTTCAATTTTGTAAAATGATACATTTAATAATTTTAAATTAAAAATATATTTTATTAATTTAATCATTAAATGTATATTTCTCATAAAGTAGATAAAAAATTCTTAAATATCTAAATTTTATTAAAATAAAATTAATAAAATATAAGTTTAATAATCTCTTGTTTAAGTATCTATTAATGCAACTATATTAAATACTCAAAAAGAAAAAAATTTACTACTTATAACACTTGTACCTTACTCTAATAAGGTTGTTTTCAATAAAAAAAAATACATGTGATTTATATATATATATATATTATAAACGTTTATCAGTGTTTTATTTTACAACTTTTAACAACAAATATACAAAAGTTTTAGCTCATATTTAATTTGGGAAGTTGTTATTCTCAAATATTTTGAAGAACAGTATTATTTTTAATTTATTACTTTCTAAAATAAATTGATTGTTCTTAATATTCTTCCTTTTTCATTATCAACTTTTTTTTTTCTATTCTTTATCTAACTATTAAATTATGTATATAAAATTTTATATAATTTGATATTTTTATAATTGAATGTTATTCAATGATCGAAATGTATTAATATTTTAATAATATATTATATATGTTAAATTAAATAATTAATGAAATGAGATATTTGTTTTTTTGAAATTTTATTAACCTAATTTATTTATAAGAAATATTAAACTAATTATTTTAATAAATTTTATATTCTTTGAAAAATTATTAAGCAGTATAATTGTCAATTTTAATAATAATAATAATAATAATAATAATGGTGGTGATAAGTATCAAATTTAAATAAAAATAATAATAATAATATACTCATATATTTACACACATTTTTAATATATTATTATAGTTAATAACTAAAATTTATTAAAATTATAAAAATTGTGTGAGTCTTATCTTTAATTTAATAATACTGTTTTATATTTTTTTAACTTTTAATAAATTTCAAATAATAATATCACATGTCATTTAATAAATACAAATCCTATTGCATGGAGATATAATAGTAACTTATTTTAATTATTTTGTCGAAATTAAAAGTTTCACATGGACATCATAAGATCTATCAAACACCAGCAATTTATTTATTAGGAAAACATCCTGGGTACATACACTAGCAAGAAACCAAAACTAAGGCTTCAGATACCACGTGCATATATATATATATATATATCCTACAGTATATATAACCTTCCAAATTTATTTATGGATTAATACATAACAGTACTCAAGCAATGGGATAAGCGGCATTCATTGCAATTCCACATAAACCTTCCTTGGCAGCTATATCTCGCTCCATTCTTATATACCCTTTCTCACCCCATCCAGTGCCCCATGAATTTTTCACAATCCAATATTTTCTACCATCACTTGATTTCCCATAGCCAACAATGGTAACAGCATGGTCTAGATCAGTTCCACATTTTCCAGTAAAAATACCACTTGAATAAAATTGAAAAGCAGATTCTCCAGCTTCAATAGAAACTGCCACCGGTTGATTTGCCACAGCTTTTAGGAGTGCCTTTTCATTATTAGTTGGCACTTCTTCGTACCCTTTCATCTCAGCAACAATTTCACTTTCCTTCTTAACCTTACAATGCTTATTGGCTCCTTTGTAGGGATAGTAATCTTCACTTGTTATTCCTCCTTTTTTCGTGATAAAATTAAAGCCATCTTCCATGTAACCACCATTGCATCCATTACTATCACCGATAACACAATCCACCAGTTCTTGCTCCGAGAGGGAAATTAATTCACCACTAGTTATTTGGTGGATACCCTCTATCGCACCTACAGTTGCAAATGCCCAACAACTACCTGTTTTGACACAAAAACAAGTTGATATGAGCACAGTTTTTAATGAATGCCTGTGAAATTTTATTAAAGTGCTCAGCATGCAAATGAGAATCACAAGATTATTGGTCATAATCATAATATGAAACATTTAGTTGTATTATATACAAAAATTCATATCCTCGTTTCTAAAGTTTGATTTTAAGTAAGTAAAAAGTAACAAACTTTTATTAAATTAAGTATTTAATTTGCTAAAACTATGAAAGTCTAATAAAATAATATTAATTTTAGATATTTAAAATTGATCTTAAAAATTCATGCTTATTATAAAAATGATATATAATATATATACCACAAATGCCTTGGTCCTTGATTGGAGTAACAGCACCTCTTTTTCTCCAGTCCATGGTAGCAGGAATGGCAGTTACACTGTCATACTTAAATGATTTTCCTGATGATGTTTCCAACCTATGTACCTTCTTCTGACCATTTAGCAAAGCCTTAAATTCTTCATTATGAAGGTCAGCAAATTTGTTAATGCTAAGGTTGAAAGATTTGTTCCCAGCAGCATTGAATGACTCAATGAATTGAACATTTTTTTTGAATATTTGGAAACGTTTTTCCTTCTCAGTAGCATCTTTGTATACCTTACCATATTGTGCCATCCACTTCTCATGTCTCTCAGATGTGCACTCCTGAAGGAGCCTGCGAGACATTACGTGGGATGACCATATAGTAAGAAGGAGGAGCAAAACAAAAATACAATGGTTTTGGCTAAATGATCTCATCTTGTAATCAAAGCAATTGGGTTTAGAACAGCTAATGGTATATGAAGTTTGTGTTACCAAGGAAATTGGGTTCAGTTTGCATCAAAGGCATTGGCAACGACAATTATTTATAGTGGTGAAGGGCTCATCCCTCGACATGCGTTTTTAATAATATTAAACTTTAATTTTAATTACACGAAAACTAAAATGGTGTAATTATTTGTTAAAAATAATAATTAACTATTTTTAATAAATTTCTCTCATACGTATAATTTAATTAAAAAGATTATATAAAAAACTCGAAAGGAGTGTGAAAGTCATGTCATCTAAGATTGTTACCAGCACTAACCCACGTGTGCCATAATCGAGTCAATTAGTCAACTTACGTTGTTTTTGTTTAAAGATCCTTTTTCCAAGTAAACAAATAAAAGGTTCCACGAAAATAGCAGATAACATGGAAACTTCTAAAAGTGACGCCAGCTAGATGTTTCTAGAGCACGTGTTTGTTTTCTGGTCAGACAAAATTATCATATATGAAGCATGAAATTTTCTTTTCAAATATTTAACACAGTTATATTTATTTAAATTTAAACAAAAAAGAAATACAAGTTAATCTAGAACACTAACTAATCTTTGTGCATTTTATGCTTTAAAAAATTAATATATAAATTAATAAACGGTTATTTGAAACTTTGAAATTTGCAGAATATCTATCGTTTCATTTATAGAATGCTCCGTTAAGATAAGGAATTTAACATTGTAGCTACATTCTGGTATGGCCTGTTTCTTACCTGCTTCCATGTTGTGCCCTTTAAGCCCGTTTGCCTCTTAAGTTAATTGCATCTAACGTTATTAAAATCAAACACGTAATAAGTTTATATATCTATATATATATATAATAAGATTAAATAGCAAATAATATAAATAATATAATTTTAAATAAATTATATATATATATTGTTTTCATTGGGGAAAAAAGTAAAATAAAAAAAAATCTCATTTCCATTATAAATTTTAAAAATAAAATAATGTAACATATTATAACTATTAATAAAACAGTATTACTAATGTTATCTAAAAAATGATTAAAGAATAAAAAAAGATAAATTTATTTTAAGTAATACATTATAAACTTTAAAAAATTTATTTTTGGTTTGAAATATTCCTTAACAATTATATTATTTTCTATTTAGTCTTATTTTATATATATATATATATAATAAATTATTTTATTTTATTTTTCTATCATTTTTATAAATTTTTAGTTTCAAATAAAATATAATTCATATTTAATTAATTTTTATTTATTATAAATAAAAATAATTATAATATAATGATTAAATATTAATAATAATAAAATCAAAAATATAAAAAATATATTAATATAATATTTTTTTAAAATTTTAGTTCATTTGTTTTAATTATGTTCTACTTTTATTTAAAGACTTAATTACTCTTTAACTTGTTTAAATATAACTTGTTTAAATATAATAAATATAATAATTTATTATTTAAACATGTATCTAAATATTATTGATTAAAAATTTTTATGTATGATACCATGAAAATTTTTAAGGGTACCATAGAATTTATCAAAAAAATAATAATTTATCATCAACTTGAATCATTAACTTAAAAGTCATAATTACTGATCATTTGAATTAATTAATAATATAAAAATTTGTACATACATGTATAATAATACATCAAAATTAAATTCTTAATTTTAAAACAATGAATAATTGCGCTCTCTTTGGTAATCAAAATCAACATCAAGCTATATATTCAATGTATGTTTGAACGTTAATTTGTTCCCTAAATTATCGCTTACTGTTACATGTTCTCTTTAACAGATTTTTTTATCAATAATTTTTATGACGTATCTTTAGAGATATACAATAAATTTTATATATAATAAAAATTTATTAAAAAATATATAATTTAATATATTGATGGT